ATCGGCGGCTAACGCGTTTCACGAGGCCGGACGAAGGAAAAAGGCCGGATCGTTTGTTAAAAAGGATCCGATTTGCCGGGAGGAATTGCCGGTGAACGATTGGAAAGAGCGTCGACGCCTTAACGATACGATATGACGTATACCGCGCGTACGTACGTACATACATACATACAAAGGGATAGCAGGCGGTAGAAGTGATACAGCCGGCGCGCAAACGGACGGATCGAAAATCTGGCACAGGGTTCACCGAGAGTTCGATCGTCGTTTGCGGCGACCGATCGGAAGAAAACAACGAGCGAGTCGAATCAGAGGTGAACCCATCACGATCTACATATGCGCGACGGCAGTGCACACGAGATATCCGCATTGCGGTTACACGAGCTTTTTAACACTTTGTGCCTGTGCACACGCGAGTGTGTACGATACGCACCACCGCAGCCAGTAAACATCAAACTTGTGTGCCGGTGACTGCCTGTGGGTGTCGTCCTATGCAAGCACAAAAGCGAGACAGGGACGGGGGGAGGAGGCGAGCGGATGAGGACGACGATTACGCCCGGAGAGAGAAGCGGGAGAATGAGGGAGGAGGAGGAGGAGCTTGGGGGTTGGGAGTGAGCAGAGGGGTTGACTGAGAGAGTAAGTGAGAGTGTATGTATCTGTGAGAGAAGGTGAGAGAGAGAGAGAGAGAGAGAGAGAGAGAGAGAGAGAGAGAGAGGTCAAAACACGATATTAGGTTTGGACCTGGGCTATGTATGTATACACATATGTACCTACGGTGGAAGATCGCGGTACTAAACGCGAGCGGAACGCTCGGTACGCCCCTGGAATTGCATCCATTTTCGAGAGAGACCTCAGTCTCCTCTGATAAGCTATACACACGCGTCTACATTGCCACGGAGTAATATATCGCGAGGTGAGATGTCGGGATGCATGCACGATCTCGTGAAAGTCGCAGTCGAGCCGATCCACGAGCTTCGGCTTTGAACCTACCCGTAACGCAACATCGCGACGTGGAAAATTTGCTTATACGATAACCACCTATCGACGGGCCGACCTATCGGCGGAAAACAACGACCGGAGTTTATTCGCGCGACTGTTTCTCGCTCGGATCATCTTTCACACTCGGCAGAATTTATCGCATGCCCGAAGAAATTTTATTCACTCTCCCCGTCTCGCGGTTCCCAACGAGCGCTGCTTCCGGCTTGCTTATTGTACGAAACACGATCGAAAATTGGTAACTAACTGTGCGATACATATATTTCTTTCTCTTTTTTTTTTTTTTTCTATTGAAAGTCTAGTACGCGAAACACGTTCGACGTAAAAAAAGAACCGCAATTTCAAGAATTTTATTTGATCGTTCGTCGACGTTCGACAACCCATGACTATCGATCTTTTCATTTAAAAGAGAGAGAGAGAGAAAGAGAGGGAGAGAGAGAGACGAAACTGAAAAACTATTAAAAAAAAAAAAGCAGACGAGAGGAAAAAGAGGAAAAAAGAAAGCCAAATACGATGCAAATTCGGCTCTCTATATACTGCGAGGTTAATTTCGAACGGGCAGGGTGTCAGAATCCTGTCACAGCGAGGTCTATGGCCGCAAGATTGGCAAAAGGACGAGGGGAAAGGGGAAGGGGGGGGGGGGGCAGAAGGCTTCGATTGATCGCGCAACCAAGAACGATCAGCGACGAAAACGACGTATCCCTGACCGGCCTTGAACGGGGCGACTTTGATGGAACGACCAACACACTGGAGGCGCGTCTCTCGCGATACGCTTTCGTTTCTTTTCGCCTCTCTCTTTCGTCGTTCGCCCTCCAGCGAACAAAGTTTTTCCCTTGGCAAAAAGAATTTTATCCGACAGCCGTTAACGGCAGTTTTACGAATCGGCTTGCCCCAACCGATTCAACCCCGGCCGCCTGTCCCCGAATAGAACCCGCTTTTTTACGAAACCAACAAAATGGCTGTACGTCGAAACCCTTCCATCCCCGGACTGTGGAAAAACTGTTATTGTCGCGATAAGTTTAGTTTTTTTAATACGCCGCTTGTCCACCTGCGACGATATATATTGGCCAGCCTTTACCACTTCCCGCTACCGTGTTTGTTTTCTTTCGAAAGCGATTTTCTCCATTTTTATTTATCGAGTTTCGGATCTAAAGCGCGAACGACCGTACCGAATCGAAGGTATTTGATCGCGAGCCGTCGGGCACACACGGCAGACACGTTTAAAACAGAAGGGAGACGACAGAACGAAGACGATAATCTGATGATCGGTGGGAGAGAGGGAGAGAGGGAAGCAGAGGTGGACGGGATGTGGTAGGGGAAGGAAAAATAAAACGACCGGTATTTCATCCCTTTAAACTCGACGGAACGTCGAAGAAACAGGGAACAATCCTGCGAGGAAGAGATCGAGAACAAACGGCTTAAGGTGGCCCCCCTCCCCCCCCCCCCCCACCCTCCCCCCTGACTCTCTGTTCCTCTTTGTCCGGGAAGATCGCGTTATCGGTCGACAAAATATTGTTATCGTGCCGTAGCGATGGTGAATCACTGATGCGAGAACCCGGCGCACAAAGGGTGCCGTGCAAAAGGAAAGTCGATAACGATTGACCGGTAAACGTATTGACGAGGAGCATCGACGCGAGGGCCAAAGCGAAACGGAACGAGAAATCGTGGCGAACATGAGATCTCCGCCATTTCGATACGCTACGAAATTGCCACGCGAATCACCATTCCAAACTTTCCACGCAATCCAAGTTAAGAGCACGATCCACGAGTACCTATGGACTTTGACGCCTAACCGGAAAATCTGCGTGCGTCAAAACATGCAAGTACACGATTCTCTCCACTCCTTTCCAACGACTTCGCCTTCTGAAGTACGACCAGCTCCACGCGGTTGGTTCACGGTTCTTCCAAGGAATAAGCCACCGAGTGACCTCATTTTCACTCAACATTGCGATAATTTAACGCGGTTGAAGAGACACCGCAATTACATGCGCGATTTATCGTAGAGGATATATACGCGCATAATTGCCGAGGGAATCAGATGACGCGTGTTTCCTTCGGTTAAATGGCGCAATCTCAAAACTAGATAACTCCGTGTCAATTTAACGAGCGTACCTTGAAGGGATTCGTTCGCAACTCCAACTTGTGTTTCCGGCACGCGTAAGGAACGTACGTAAAGAAACTTACGAAGCAACGACGGTAATCGCATTAACGTCGCCGAGGACTGCTCGTGCCTTAAAAACCGACGAAACGAAAACTACCCTGAATTCAACATCAAAGGGGGAGGCGATATGAGTAAACGCGGGCGAAATGCCGGTACACATCGAGCCGTTTTTCAAACCGGCGAGCCACGTTCTCGTATCGTCGGCGGTGCTCGATCTTTAAGGGTCCATATCGATAACAAATACCGGGTAAAGCCTTTTATCGAAAGCACGTTTATAGGTTTCAGATAAGGAGGAGACTTTCGAGAGAATGGTTCTCGTGCCGACACTCGAATTCGATGAAAACCCCGTGTGGTCGAGAAGGTAGCGAACGAGAAGAGCATAAGGCGGTATAAGACTGGATTACACGCGTTAGCAAGGAAAGGAAAGCTCGCGCGTCTTTCCATTAATCTTCATTGGTACCGGTTGCAAACCGGGGCCGCATCGCGGCTTGCGCCCAAAATCAATACGGCCCTGCGTGTAATCGCGTTTCCTATTATTAAAGATGCTCGGCTGGTGTGTACGGATGCGATTGTTCCTGTAGCGTGCCGCGTTGATAAATATTCCGGGGACGAGAGGAGAACAATCGCCGTGTAACGACGTCGCTTGTGTCAGCTTGTACCGATCAACAACGGAGGAGACGATGCTTTTGTTACGGCCAAGCACGTAGCCTGCATTAGCGTTACACGACGACAACGATTATAATAGCTGTGACAGAATTCCAAGGAGTCGGGGATCGACGTTTCGTCGTTTCGTTTTTCCGGTGAAAAAGAAAACTTTTCTTCTTTTTTCACCCGCGTATATATCGGAGCCACGACAATGGCTGGAATTTACCTTTGGATCCTACGAATCGATTACAAATACACCTCGGCACACGAACCGCGATACGAGAGACCAACCTGTGCTACGAGTTCAACGCACTTTCCGCAATTTACTCATGCGTGCAGCGGCTCTATTTTCCCTTGTCTACGTTTATTGTTTACCAACTACGTTGCATAAAACACTTTGGTAATATCGCGAGATAAAGCAGATTTCACGGCTGGTAATTGTCCCTTTGATGCTCGACCTTTTTTTCCTGCCGCGCGTACATCGACGCGTTCTCTTATATATATGTATATGTGTATATTAATCGGGAACGCTTTTATCTCGTGGCTATTGAGGATAAAACGTCACGAGGAAAGTTCGTATCACGATCGTGGAAAGGAGTCGCAGCGCGGTGTCGTCGACACTCTTCGAGGTTGTGCTTCTGCGTGCGCATACAAATATTTGATGCACACGTACGTGGACTTCGGATCGTCCGAAAATTCGACGCCACCATACCGATACAGAAGGGGAGAGATTTTAATCGGAGCGTCGCAATGAGCGTAAAGCATCATTCCGATATACCGTGTTGTTACGATACATCGTTTTTCCCGACGAGATTTTTTTCCCTAGCTTGGGCTACGTTGTCGCGTCACGCGTCGCATGAATGAAAACTCGCACTGGCACGCTTCATTCCTTATGTCCTCCTCGTGTCGTTCGGATATTATCCAGTTAACATGAAATGAACGTTTTGGAAATGGACGTGATGCTTTCTATCGAAATTTTCGTAATTCGGTGTATACGCGTGTCTCGTTTGAAAAGAAAAGACACGAAGAGACAGAAATAATGGATAAAACGCGCTCCGACTGTTTGAAAATCGCAGACGTACACCATGCTTGTTACAGAGAGAGTAATGAACCTTGTCGATTTGTGTCGGTTTACAGAAAAAGAATCGAACTACTGAAATATATATCGGTGAAAGCAAGCAGCGGCGTTCATTGTACTCACCGCAATGCAGTGACCTCCACGCTTGTATCATGCAGAGCTTCCCTCCTTCGTCGCTGCGAGACTCGTGAAACGGGGGTTGAACAAGGGCTGCTGTTCGTGACAGGAACCACCGCATAACCAACAGTCACGTTTCTATTAGCACATCGGTTCATAGAACGGTCACTTTCTACACCGCACCACACGCGCTCCTATCAGGCCAACGTGACGAACTACCGTTTACTTTCAAAAGAAACATCAGCAGCCGCAAGAAACGCGGAAACGGAAAGTTTTTCGAGCTTGCAGGGCCGCCGCGAATCGATGTGCGATGTTACACTTCCCAGCTGTCTTTTTTGATTCTGCGGATGTGCCCGCCACTATTACCATCTGGCGGTGGTTCTTTTAACTACACCGTTCGCGGGTCGCCGCGAATATTCAAACGTTTAAACGAAATTTGACTTTCAAGTAATCCAATCTTACACACCTGCAAACACAAATGTAAAAATAATATCAAGGCAATTACGATGCAAAACAATGTATAATTTATTGTATATGTATATATATATATATATATATATGTGTATATATATGTAAGTATATATATAGGATACAGTGAAATCGTTACTTCCTAAAACAGATTATGCAACATAATATAATTTACATGTATATATAGATTTATTTTCCACAGCATTATATAAGAACATAAGTTAGTTTGTAATATTAAGTTTATTGATCGTAATATTAATTCTTAATTATTACGATGTGTAACTTCGCCATATTTCGATAATAATAACAATAATCGCAAGAATTAACTTACAAACATCTTGTTTACATTTTCACTTGTCTCAAGTGTGGTAAAAATGTATCTGCCCTTGTAATCGATATATTACAAGATATATACCTTTATATTTACATAAATATAAAGAGAGGTAAATTGAAATTGAAGTCACACATTTTTTTGCAACCTATGCATATACGTGTGAATAAGTTGATAATCATTATAAACAAAAAAATTAAGTAGCTGTATTTATGAGCTTGCAACAAATATAATTGATATTTTTTAATAAAAATAATAAATACAACTTGGATATTCTATTATTCTCTAATATATGCGATTTCTAAGGTGGATGATAAGAATAATATTAATAATAATAATGATAATAATAATAATAATAATAATAATAATAATAATAATAATAATAATAATAATAATAATAATAACAACAATGTAATAAAAGAACAGTTAAGTAGATATCTTAAAAAATGGGCAACACTAACAGTCTTAGCTTTTAACCCGATTAAATTGTAACTTAGCGTTAGAAAATATACTACGATTTTCAAGTAACGTTGGCTTTTTAAAAAATACAATACGTTGAAATTTATCGTTCCATTTCGGATATATGTTTATTATGTAAATACAAGAAACTGGATTTTTGTCATAAAAAGACATGCAGCGTGCACAAAATCGAAAGTAACCAGAATTTAAGGCCACAAAATTTTTGTAGTAATAATAACATTTATTATCTAATGGGACGTATCTGTTTACAATAAAATAAGCTGTACAAATAGGATGGAATGTTTCGTTAACTTTAAATGCTAAATATGTTTTTTTAGAATACTTATTAATTTTTTGAAATAGCTATTATTATACAAAGTAGGCATTTACAATTTTGTTCGAGGTACCTTCGAATGATCAATTTCATAGATATACTACTGTTTAATGAAAGAAACGATTATATCCATTTTTTCACATATTGTTAAAATGTATAAAGAAATTTCGCTGTTTAAACAATTTAATGTCTATTTTCTTTTATATTATTTAATGCTATATACAATGAGCTAAATATAGCAGATTTTCCATCAGTTCTTAGAAGAACACACAAGAAGAACGCTGTCGTATATGGAAAAATTTCAATTTATTATATGAATAAATTATGTAACAGATACGTCTATTTAAAAAGAACAAACTTATTTTCAATTACATTTATATTAAATTAAATAACCGTTTTTTTACGATTTCTGAATCGATCAAAAATAAAACAGATTACGTATTTTACAATATCTGTTATTCTTCTTGCTACATCTTCTAATAATATAATTGATTTTTAAAAATTTTCAGTTTGTACATTTTTGCAACTATGTATATGTTTTAAAGAAACAAAATTTTCTATTCTTTGTTACTCTAATAAAAGAGCCTTAAGAAAATGTCTATAATACGTGCATAATACATGAGTCTCCAAAGATTTAATTTCTCTATATAAAAACAAAATTAAATTTGCATTTAAAACAAATTATTCATCTTAAAAGAAAGTAATTTAATTTCGTGCAATATTTCGAAATTGTCATTTAAGGGGAACTTGTTTTAATAACTTGTTAATTAAAATTCACATCAATACTTCATCTTAAATTATAGCGTCATTGTATACAAAATAATTGAGATGTCTGCTTAACTTAAATGTAACCAAAATTCGACAGATTTGAAAATCGTAATAAATCTTATGTAATATAATTTTTAGAACTTTTTTTACGTCTTTTATATTTAAGTATAATTTGACTTTTTAAATATGTAAACTCATATTACCTAATTCTTTTAGTAACGAGCCATTTAATCAACAAATTCAGATAAGTAATTAATATATAGATTATTATCGCTTAAATTATTTACAATTAATATCAAATGAATGGTTTTTTTTTTATAGCAGCAAATATAATTTTCCCAAAGAACCCTTTTAGAGTGTAATAACTATCAAAATACGTAATTACATTTAGAAAGTGAACGCGTTAATAAATTGTAATTCAACAATTGCTGAAACAGCATTCGAAATTACTATCAATTTCTTTTCTTCTGTTCATTAAATATAGTTTATAATTTTTAAAGTGCATCATGCGTAAAATTTTTTTGAATTATTTATAGCAGATAAGTAATATCTAAACGTACTTTTCATTGATTTGTCTTAATGTTGTAACTAGCAGTCAAAAGACACCTAAGTCTTCAGAGTGCAGAAATATTATCCTGTTAAATAGTTAATCATATTAGATAGTATACATGGTTGTGTATCTATATGTATGTATATATGTACATTATATTACAGATATCATCATGAAAAGGGGTATTTCGTGCTAATCCACTCCAGCAAAACCTTGAGAACCTTCAATTGCTTTTATCAATTTCTCTCTCAGTTGTTGATAACTTTCATATGGAGGAAGGTCTATGCGATTAAAACTGAAATGAATACATTAATTATCAGATATAATTTTACTTTCTCTTTAGTATTCTTTTTCTTTAAATCCTTATTATATTCTTATTTTATAAATTATACATAAACTTAAAGTTACATACCAGGTATGAGCTCTTGGATAATTTTCTGGTGTGCCCCATTTTTCAATTGTAAATAATTGTGGACCATTGCTACCATATAGTTCTTTAAAACCATTCATAGGTACTCGCGATGTACCAGTTACGAACTGTAATAATCTGGATCTCATTTCATTGCTAAATGACAGTACTACTCGCCAAAACCACTGAACAACAATGTGATTAGCGTGATAGTCTCCTTTGTATAACGTGTTTTGTTTCCAATCTCTCACATCAATATGTTGAATACCACACATTAATAATTCTAATTCATGTTCATCAAATATTTTGACTAATGTTGGCGGTATAAGAGCGTTAAATCCTTCTAAAAATGCATTCATTTGTTCTTGAACCCTTGATACAAAACGCCACTGTATAACTAAAGCTATATATTCATCTTTATTTTCATCTGTTAATGGTATATTAGCACCATCTGGTTTAAGTTCTCTTTGAGACGTATGACCAAAACTTTCTTCATCAACACAAAACGTAAGCTCCAATTCACTAGGATCATTTTCTTTAATCCATAATAACGAATTGTAATATTCTGAATCAACGCTTTCCATATCTTTTAAATCAATAGATTTACTTAACATCATTTTATAAAATGGACGAATAAAGAACGCTGTAAAAAAATAAAAGCTCTTCTTATACCTATTTTACATAGAATGTTTTGTATCTTCTATATCACTGAAATAATTCTTACCATCCAACAATTTCCCATGGTACACAGCCATACCTGCTATACGACCAATAAATTTGAAATAATTTAAATGTTCTTCATTACATACCCCTGAAAAGGGGTTAATTTGCAAAGTATAATTATCCCTACAAACATTTAAATTATTATTTTTTATAGTTTATTTTATACAATATGAAAATGATTCATACATAAATATACATACGTAGCAGAATATTCAAATAATCCATAGTAAGGATTGAACATTTCTTTAGACAATAGGAAAAACCATTCTCGAGCAAGACCTCCATAATCTAAACCAACTTCTCCTTCAAATTCAACCCATAATTTTGTTTTTAATATTTCTACTCTGTTGACAGAACTAATTATGCGATACGAATCTTCTAAAATGTTATTTCGACCAACTTTTATTTCAAATTTATTAGGAACATTGCTCTAAAAAGAAAAAAAGATATAGATACAATAGAAAAAAAACGAATTCGAACAAATGTTGAATGTTGACATACTTACAGGCTTCCTTAATTGAGATTTAAGATATTCATATTTACGTTTATAATCTCGCGAATATGGTACAGCCTATGGAAAATCAACAAATTATATATCATGATTTTGTGATCAAATCAATTTTGGATACTAGAAAGTCTCATACCGGTCCAGCAATTTGAGGATTAGACATACGAGGGTCTTCCCATTGTGTTGTTCTTGTATCTGCGGAACAAAAGTAGAAAGATAAATATTATTTAATCAAAATAAAATTCTGATTTTTATAAAATTTAGGTAGATATTGACATACTATGATCAATGAAAAATATTCGGCCATCTGTATGAACTCTTTCTTCCCAACCTTCTGGAAGCGGACCAAGTTGATCTAAATCACTTCTTGGTGTAGTAGAAGGGGCAACGTGATTAGGTATTGAACTTGGTCGTCCTGTTCGAGGATCGATCCATGTCGTTGTCCTTGCAGTATGATCAATGAAAAATACTCTACCATTTGGAGCTATTTGCATACCCCAGCCAGGTGGTAATCCTTCATCGCTTGGTGCAGGAACCACTGGTTTAGGACTTTCAATCTAAATATCAAAACAAGCTTTGAAATAAATAATTTTGATACTACAGCTATACATAATAAAATACTATACTGACTTGTTCAGATGATCGCCTAGACCCAGCTGGACTATCCACACTATCATCACTCTGCAAATGTAATAATAATATATTATAAATATATACATAGTTATATCAATTTCAATCTATTATATTACATTTAATACAGTTTCAACATTTCATAATGTATTACAAATTTATTATCATTTCGTTAACAATAAAAATCAATCAAAATAACACAATATGTTAATTATAGCAATACAATTTTTATAAAACCCTCGTATTAATATAACATAACATATAACACAACATATCATATAAAAGGAAAATATATTAATTAAATTTTAAATAAAGCAGTAGTAAAAAAATAATTAGTTGTAGTAAGTGTACTTGTTATACCCAACTAATGGTGAAGTTTTGTAATAAAAGTTTTAGATTTAGAGCATAAAGTAATACTTTCTTTTTATCTTTACTTTTTTTTTATATAAACGAATACATGTAAATAAAAATAGTTTATACAATTGAAAATAATCATATCTATGAATGAGTACCTGGTCTTCATATTCACTAACGTAGCCACGTTGATCGACAGAATGTCCAGAGTCTGAAGAAGTATTCCCACTACCCCCTCCCCTATGATTCTCAATCTCATTATCTCTCGCATCCGAATCTTCACCTTCCTCGCGGAGAACTTCACCATCCTTACACACACATGCACAAAATTGCTACATACCACATGCTAAGTATTCTATTTGTTAGAAGGTTTTCGTACTGTCTGAACATTTATATTCATATTTTTATATAGAATCATTTACATATATTTAGTAACATGTTAAAATTATGGATCTATTAAAAAGTACATCTACAATTCAACAAAATATGTTTCTGTAAGTGTTAAGCAGTGTTATAAAGATGTTTAGTCATAAACATTTGTTAATTTACAACATTACATAACATATAAAGCAAAAAATATAGTCATTGTTTCTACTGTTTCTACTTCTATCTAAAGATATAAATATATTTTTATTATTCAAAAATATATTAAATATGTAAATTTCAAGTTTTGTGCGTGTGTGTGTTTTTTTACACGCAACTATTACATAAATTCTAAATCTCAAAATAAAGCTTAAAACACAATACTTAATTATAATACAAATTCTACGCTAATTGGTTAATAAATTCACTTCATCTTTCCTTTTTTAAATATGTACTATTTATACTACTTTATTACCTGATTAATTGAACTTCTATGTCTATTTTCTTCATCTGCGCTAATATGAAAACGGCGTTGAAATTCAGTTACTGCAGTATTGAAATTTCGTTCAACTGTCATATTTCCACTAGGTGATGTAGTGCTATAAATAAATCCCAATATTTCAATGTCATTTTTTTACATCTATTAAAATAAATAAGTAACTCTGTTGAAATAGAAATCTAATATTTATTACGTACGATTCTGCTGGATGTTCCCATTGTGTAAATCTTGCTATATGATTGACATAATACGTTCGCCCATTTGCATCTTGTCTTTCTTCCCACCCTGGTGGTAAATGTCTAATAAACATGACCTAAGAGAATATTCAATTAAAATATTAACTTCTACACACAAATAATTTTTACGTTCAAAGCAAAATATATATATATAATTGGCATACATCTGCAGCCTGTTCCTCAGGGCTATTATTTGTTGGTTGTACCATTTCCCAGCCTCCTGAGTCAGATGCAGTATCTCCATTATCATTGTCCACGATTGATGAGTCAGAAATATATGCATGATATACTTCCAAGGTGCCCTTCACTCTTGAACGCTGACTGGAATGATTACTAGCCATATCCTCATAAGTTAATCATTTTGCATTTGCAAATGAAAGATACGAAAGAAATGTATTAAAGAACTAAACATGGCAATTGGTGATATGTAGCCAATAAATATAACTAGATGGAAAACTGATCCAAATCATAAAACAGTGCATATAAAAATAATAAAAATGGAAATGAATAAAAGTGATATAATTTAATTATATTTATTGTATATATAGTAGTATGTTTACATTACATCTGTAATATAAAACCAAATAATTTTGATAGAAAGCTAAACAGATTAAATCTTCAAAACATACAAAAATACACAGCTTTAAGCATATATTATAAAAATATTTACCTACGTGGTCGAAGTAAATAACGTCTAACAGGAATTATACGACCTTCTTGTTCTTTAGGTAGATTAATCAATGTTAATTCTACCATACCAAGAAAATCATCCCGAGTCAATCGATTTTCATCAAAAACTTGTAGCACCAATTTATGCTCAACGGGTTTGACCTAATAATAAAGAATATATACCTCTATTAACATATTAAATTTAGCTTAAATTTAGCAATAAATTATAATATATCAAACTTACTCTAAATATAAATTCTTCTTCCCAGACAGGATTCAATGTCTTTTTCTTCGTTTTTGTAAGTGCAGAATCTATTATCTGGTCTCCATTTATAGTATTTAAATCAACACGCACATAAGGATCGCTTGCACCAAAGATGTCTTTCTTTGCTAATTGGTGACCAGCGATCACTTTTAGCCTCAGCTTGTGGGTAGCTTCATCTCTCTATACATAATATGAAATTAAATCAAAAGCATTAATTATGTTAAATCCTCAAAATTTATAAAATCAATATGATAATTACTAATCAAAGACCTAACTGATATTATTCAATGTAAACTACTTTTATCATTGAAATTAAAAAATGTAAAATAAATATTTTAAAAAAGATTAAATCTTATCTGTTCATACATATTTTATTCCTATTAAAAGATGTGACAATAATTTTTTTTCTTTTTCTATATTTTACATAATAAACAAATTATTTTATTAAAATATAAAGACATATAAAGTACAATGAAAATACATAAAAATTGTAAAATATGAATAGGAAATAGTCTTTTTCAGGTTGTACATAAATAGGTAATGAAATATAAAAATATTAATACTGATGTTTTATCAATTTGATGATTCTTAATAAAAAAAAATATAAAGATAATTCATGTTAAAGGTTATTAATCATATAAAAATTTTATTATTGATATAATAATATTATTAATTATAAAATCGACAATTTTGTGGAAGTAATACCCTTTCTGAAGTCTATCAATCAAAAATCCAACCTGTACTTGTCAAACTGTCAAAATAGTTACGTACGGATTCTCCGTCAGCTCCAGACGTTGGATTATATCCATAAACATGTTCCTCTGCCATTAACGTTATGTATAATCGATTTGTTATGTATAATCGTCGATTATTATTTCTTACAATTTAACTAGGTTCACAGTTTCTTATGTGCCATCAAGAAACCTATTTTGTCTTAACCCCAGTTGCTATTGCATGAACGAAACGGATATGACATACTCGCGCTTAAAGATGGCTAACTTCCTTTTAAATATTCAAACGTGACTAAAATTCATTTTAATCATTTTAAATAAGAAAGATTATTTATGAAAAGTATGCTATATATTTTACAGAACATATTTCCCTTAAACATTATAAATTTCGACGTTAGAAAGAACAAAACTTTCACAAATATGTAACTATGAGATAATTCTGGATACCGCTAAAACGAACTAATGCGCCTGCGAATATCTCTTGAAATTTTCCTAAACAGACATACATATTTCATCACTACACGTAGTAAGTTAAGCGACGTAATCGAAATTGTGAAACATTAATATTTCACTGAAACATTATTACTTTTTCAATGTTACCATTACGTTTAACAATTAATACGCATAAAAAGTGACTCAGGTGTTCTGGAGTACACTTTTTTTCCTTTCTTTTCTTCCCCCCCTTAACGGTTTCTTAACTATCAAAGTATTGTTTTAATATCAGAAAGAAGAATGAGATAAAACATGATAGTAAGTTATATTTTATATTTCAGTCTGGAATTTGATATCATGGAACAATGATAAGAATGAATAATCCCTAAATTATTATCTCTTAAGATGATGCATTATACCAATATCACCTATACAAAGAAATATGATTATTTACATACTATAGGCTCTGTCAATGAGAAGCGTCCTGGCCTTCTGTTAGCTTGCAATATTCGAGATGCAGAACGATGTTGAGAATTCCAAGTATAAGACCGAGTTCTTTGAGAAGATGATTCAACACCAGCATACATTGGGTAGGTCAAAGTATGTGGCATCTTATATTCTTAATTTCTTAATACTTTACTTTTACACATTAACACAAAGATTATTCACTATGAGTATACATGTATTTTACTTTGAACAAGTAACTTTATACAATTATATAAAATTAATATATGTGAAGTATAAATAATTGTTATAACTGATCTTGATATTAAAAAAAAAAACTAGATTTTACATGCATACCAAAGTTTTTCACAACTGTAACATTTCAAATAATACTTCATGTATGCTAAATATGCTTTTTAATACTGTACAGATAATTGTTTCTCTTTGTTATGTAACAAATTTATAAAATAGCATAGTAATAATAAAAATAAAATAAATATACAAACTTTGTAGCTAAAATGAATAATATTAACATTCAATACGTGTTAATAAACACTAATAATAAATCTTATCTAAGATTATTACAAAACAAAAATGTAAAGATATAAATTAACACTTTTTAATAAAACACAGTTCACTATTAACTGATTATTAACTCATTTATATTTAAGCTTTCAATATAAAGAACATAATGCGTGATCGTCCATAACGCAAAATCACTTATTTTTTATGTGAACGTTAAGTGTAAAAATCCTTTCAGATAAGGAACGTCTTAAATCATTGAAGTGATAACACGTATTTATTCAACTACGAAATTAACCAATACATTGAAAACTTCATAAATGTATGTATATACAGGTAATTAATGCATCCAAATATTATGGATTATGAATAAATATATACATAATTAAATAGTCATATATTTATTTTTATTTCTTTCTGAAAATTATAGCAGTATCAATATTTTATAGAGCAATAAAACATTTGCCTGATAACTGACTCTTCTTTTTATAGGTATGGTGGCGCTTTTAGTCACCGTGTAAAGCGGTTAACCTTCGTCTATCGTTAAATAGAAAAATGTTAAACAATTGTATCAAAGCTTTTAGTTGTAGTATGTGACTACCTGACACATTTAAATTATTGTATATTAAAAATGTACGTGCATTTGTAAATATGTACATACTATTCATGGTCAATTAAGGTAAAAATATTATCAAATATACTCATATATTATATATATATATATATATATATAATTATATATATATATATAATAACTGTATATTTATATATTTATATATGTTATATATATATTATGTTATATATATATATATAATAACTGTATATTTAAATTTATTTGTATATATATTACAGATTAATGGAATTTAGTTAGAGAATAAATGTTATATATTCATCATATTTGAATTTTAAAAGTAGTTAAAATGTTACGAAGACGAAATGTTAATATTAAAACTGTCAAAGAACTGGATGCATTTCCCAAAGTTCCTGAACCATATATAGACAAAACTGCAGTCGGAGGAACATGTAAGTTTTTTCTTACATTATTTCTTACTTTAGTCTTACCAAATATATCTTATTTTCATTTACAGTTTCCATATTTACAATCTGTACTATTGCATACTTAATAATAGCTGAAACAAGTTATTATCTTGACAGTAGACTACAATTTAAATTTGAAACAGACACAGATATTGATGCAAAATTAAAAATAAATATTGATATCACGGTTGCTATGACATGTGGCCGTATTAGTGCTGATGTTTTAGATTCTACAAATCAAAATATGATTGGACATGATTCATTAGAACAAGAAGACACATGGTGGGAATTAACACAAGAACAGAGATCTCACTTTGAAGCTTTAAAAGATATGAATTCTTATTTAAGAGAAGAATATCATGCGATTCATGAATTATTATGGAAATCTAATCAAGTTACTTTATATAGTGAAATGCCAAAACGGTAAATATATGAAGTATATTATTCTATCTATGATTAATACATATATGTATCAACACATTAGGACCCGTCAACCCAGTTACCCACCAAATGCCTGTCGCATCCATGGTAGTTTAAATGTTAATAAGGTTGCTGGAAATTTTCATGTAACAGCTGGAAAATCATTATCATTTCCTATGGGACATATACATATTTTAACTTTTATGACTGACAAAGACTATAATTTTACCCATAGAATTAATAAATTTTCATTTGGTGGACCTAGTCCAGGTATTATTCATCCATTAGAAGGAGATGAAAAAATTGCAGATAACAGTGAGTTTATATGAAATAAATATAAGTATTATAATATTTACAATTTATTTTTAAAAATATATATATTTTAGATATGATTTTGTATCAGTATTTTGTGGAAGTGGTTCCCACAGACATACAGACTCTACTGAGTACTTCCAGAACCTATCAGTATAGTGTAAAAGACCATCAAAGACCAATTGATCATCAAAAAGGATCTCATGGAAGACCAGGAATTTTTTTTAAATACGACATGAGTGCACTTAAAATAAAAGTTACTCAACAACGTGATACAGTGTGTCAATTTTTAGTGAAATTATGTGCCACAATTGGAGGTATTTTTGTTACAAGCGGTAAATATAAATTTTCTTAAATTATTTATATATTGTTAAAGATATTTTTTACAAAGAAAATTTTATAGGATTGGTGAAAAATATTGTACAAAGTTTTTGGTACATTATGTGTTGCAAATTTTTAGCAACTAAGGAAAATAAAAATGACCAAAAGTATTCCATTTTATCTACTACCTCAAACTATCAAATGCCTGGCACGATAAATCTTTTGAATATTTCAGTACCAGAAAACGTGGATATAATGTTTAAACCTCAATAAAGATAATATTTTCATTTGATATTCAAATAATTTTTAAATATACAAAAATTGCGAATAATAATTATGTCTTTAATTGTTCTGTATGTACCAATAAAATTAATATCAATTTTGTATTTATCAGTTGTATATGTTCTCTTTTTTGTCAACTTTTTATTCATAGAATTTATATTCATCATTCATAGAAACGATATTATATTGTAACATTAATTTGCAAGTGATATATTCATTTCTTTAGAATGCATTTTTATCTTTACTACTAGCAAATTTGGTTAAGGGTAACTAGTGGGAGAAACGTTTCCCCTTCTCTTAACTTCCACCAATAGAATCACTTACTTGGACAGAGTATGCATGAAAGTAATAGATAGTAAGTAATCGACTGAACTACAGCAAAAGTTTGATCGAAAAATGATATTTTATTTACATTTGTTAAATCGATGCTTCAATAATTTGCATTTTACGTAATAAAAGTACCAGTTGATTGAAAATCTTCGCATGCGCTCGTCAGAACTATTTGAAAGAACAAAGTTTATTTCAGTGTGAAACGAAATTGAATAAACAAATCGTTTAAGAATGGCAGATATTAAACAGGATCATAAAGGCGAGGATACTGATAATTATGGAATAGGTAATAATGCAGAACCAAAAAATATGCAAGAATTGACAGAATATGTGAGTAAGATATAATTAATTACTGTGACATTCTTCGTTGATGTTTCAATAATGTGATTGCCTATTCTTGTTTATGTTTTTTTTACATATTTTAGGTGCAAACGTTATTACAAAATATGCAAGGGAAATTTCAAACCATGTCGGATCAAATACTGGGAAAAAATATCCTTTTTTTACAAATAGTTCGAAATGAGCTTCCTTAAATAACCTAAAAAAAATTAAATGTGCTTCTGACGAAAGTACAAATTATTATGTGTGAAAAAGTAAGCTTATTTAAGGAAATTATGTATTTACTTAATGTTTCCATGAATAAGTGATAAATATTCTTAATACAAAATACTAGATGAAATGGGAAATAGAATAGACGATCTAGAAAAAAATATCACAGATTTAATGACACAAGCAGGTGTAGAAGGAGGGGACAAATGATTATATTTGTTGTAATATTAATTTTGATATAGAAACAAAAAGATCTTTTACAATATGAATCATTATATAAAAACAATATTTGTACATTATTGCATTGTACAATTTGCAATATGCATTTTGATCATTAAAATAAACTGATTTTTTTTGCACTAAGATAACAATATAACACATGCTTTATTTCCTTTTTAAGCAAAAATATAGGATACATTTCAGTGCTAGATAAATACTATTTATATTAAATCAATCATGCTTGATCATTATAGGCATTGTTAAAAACTTTTGATATGTAGGAATCGGTGGTATTGCTTTAACTATAAATCGTATTGAATCCTTATGTCCAGAATTACTTTGCAGTTCAATCTAGAATTGTACAAAATATTGTTGAAACAATAGATTATTTACAATTACATAGATTTATGCCTGGTTCTCACAGGTTTTTCTTTAGTAGATTCAGATTCAGTTTCTTCCGAACTCTCTCTAAATTCCTCAATCTGTACAGATTCTGAAGAGTTCGTTTTTAAACTTGACTTTGCAGAATCCTACAAAAATATTTATTGTGATCATAATGTAATCACACATATGTATTTAGTTATGGCATATTACTGACTGGTATATAATAATTAATTTATACTAACAATAGATGTAGATTCAATTGTATGGTTAGCTAATTTCTGTGAATTTGCGGGTGAAGGCATAAAACGATTCGCCAAATTGGTAAGAGAATAAGATTGCCGAAACAAAGTTCGTCCAACAGTGGACAATCTTGCAATAGAATCGGGTACATGCATTATTTCACGAAATTCCTGAAATTGATCACTACATTAATTAATTTAAAAAGTAAAGGATTATTATATTATTTATCTTGATTTGTACAAATTATATACAATTAACATAACTAGTCAAATAAAAAAATTTTACCCCATTCATATTTCCTCTTATTATTTGAAAGTCCTATGAGAAAATATCAAAATAATACTAATTTAAAATAGTTCTTAGACTTTATAAGATATTAATTGACAGATCTAACACAAGATATGAACGAAATTTAATACTTTTTTATATTAACACATACTGAATACTATTTAAGTAAAGCCTACCTCTAAATCTTTAACTTCATTGATTTCTGCAATATCTTGGTAACCTTTTGTTAGTAATTCTAGAGCTTTGGCGTGAAAACTTAATTCAATGATAATAAAATCTAGAAGTACAGTTTTCAGATCATGTAATTTCCGCTTTTCGAATGCATCGATTTGCTCTTCTAAACCTTTAACAACTCTTGAAACTTCAACAGAAGCTTTCATTAGTTCCGATTCGGCTTGAGACTATATGATTTTTAAGAATTTAAAATAGTTATACCTTTTCAACATTATGTAAATGTAATTAATTAAAATTAATAAAATTTAATAGAAGGATACAATCATCTGTCTATTTCTAGGATTTCGTTCTCGAAGTCTGTCTAGATGCCTTTTTCTTGTTAACTCCTTATCGCGTGCTGTAAATGTATTTTTTACGTCATCACGAGCATGTTTGCAAATTGTCGCGTATTGAGAAAGTGGGGAAATTATTTTGGCATCAAATCTTTGCACTTTGGCGTCTCTAGAAACAACGAATGAAAATTATAAACAGTAGAATTTGTTTATTTATATTCTTTTCATTTAAGAAATAAATACGTACCTATAATCACCTATTACTGACAAAGTCGCAGAAAAATTTGTCAGTCCATTAGATAATGATTGATTTATTGTTTCCGATTGTGCGTAAATTTGAATAATTTTTGCTATTTCATCTCCTTTATCGCGCAATCTAAAAGTGCATTCATTTACGTACAAAAACATCAGATCATAAAAGAGAAATAAACGATATATACAAGTTTAATAACAACGTTTCTTATATATACAAACCTTGCGGCTTTTCTTGTATATGCAGCAAATGTCGTGCATAATTCTGCAAAATGTTTCTCTACGTTAGATATTCGGTCTTGTACAAACTTTGCTTCCTGTTCCCTGGTACATAAATTTCATAATATTACAAGTATAAATCTCAAATACAAATTGAAACTTATTGTGAAAATGTAAAAAAATTAAAAATATATACCAAATGCTGCTTTGAGACCTTGAACGTAACATTTTATCGTATACAATTTCTCAACTTTTTTTTATTTAAATCGATCGATCTTCATATGGCAACTCGCTTCCATAGGTACGTCCATATGGGCACCCCACTGATAGTTTACGACTGGCAGGTGGTGCATTGTGTCCGCAGCTAAAGTCGATTTATATAAATATCCTTTATACGTATTCTTTAAGCTTTTGCTTTAGCTTTTGCTCACCTTTAAGCATGCACCGTGTAGATCATCCCTAGGATAAGTGCCGGAACTAATTTATATTGTTATCCTTACCGCAATGTCCTTATCGTCTAGCGCGCGAATATATATCTGTCCTTGTCATACACTGTCACTCTCCTTGTCTACAGCGCGAATATGTCTGTCCTTGTTCCACGCTATCGCCCTCCTTATTTACCGCGCATGTATGGCTGTCCTTGTCGCACGCTATCGCTCTCCTTGTCTACCGCACATATATATCTGTCCTTGTCGCACGCTGTTACTCTCCCCTGTCTAGTGACGCCAGACAAGGAGAGCAATAGAGTACGACAAGGACATCCTTCAATCTATTGAAAAAAAATTAAACTTTTTATACACACGTTTTTCTAGGACAAAACACACATAGAAAAAAAGCGGAGAGCCTAATTTTAAGGAGACATATGAAAAAGTTCGCAAATTATTCCTCTTAATTTAGTTTTTAGTTTTTCCTCGTAATTAGTGCAACCTGTCACAAAAGAACATGGTGGCGCCATCTAGCGACAGCTCAGTGGTACTAATTATTTATAAAAATACTTATTTCTGCATTTTACGGGTCAAATGGGGTATGAAAAGAAAGCTAAGGTTCTAATTAGGGTAATACAATCACAAACATTCACAAATCATTTTGCTAAATTAGGTTTTTTCGCAAATGAAAATTTCTCTGTTTTACGGGGAAAGAAACACTAGCGCCGCGATGTGGCAGACTAGTGGAACTAAACGCTCTATAACAATATAAGGGGAATAAATAATTTTAATTTTTCACGTTACTAATTTGCACTCCACGAGCACATATTTGAAAGATAATGCTATCAGTTACGTCCACAAATAAATCTGAATCCAATATTCACTTAGAGACCCTAAGCTTGCGTTTTATGTTTTGTTTAAGTATAGTTTACGTATATAAAGAACGTTTCAATTTCGTTCATATTAGCAGTAGTGCCAGTAGTGAGTGCATAATTTCGCGCAAACTATAGTGAATATTAGATTCAGATTTATTTACGAACGTAATTGATATTGGTTAGGGGTCGCCGGCATCAGCCCTATTAATGAATTTGGTGGTGACTCTGAGATAAAATATACTCCACTTTCTATATCCTTTATAATCTTACATATATAAAATCATTCGCCACAGTAATTTCACTTTTAGTACCAACTACTGACGAATTGCAAATTGTATATTTTCAGTTATATATACCTGTATCTATGTACAAAAATGAAGTCCCATGCAAGAGCAAAGGAAGCAGTTCCTTCTCTCAGTAACCGATCCATTAGGTTTTGTTTGTTCTGCGTGACATTCTCTACCAATAGGTATTCTTAAATTTAAGAATGGATTGGAAAGAGATCCACATTCTTTTCAGGAAACTTCTCATCTCTGCACGACATGTGTTGATACAAGTATAAGTCATTATTTCGAATCTTGAGATTATTGAGTTATTACAGTTGAATTCGGTAAATATATTTAATTTTATACAAAATATTTATAGAATACAATGATTGTAATTATAGAAGATGAGAAACTAATTTTTTTTATAGAAAGAATCATTTATGGTGATTCACTTGATTGCTATTTTATGTCTAAACGACTTCAAATATATTTCATTGCGTTTGTGGTATTAATTCTACATTTAAGTGAAATTTATTTTCATGATATCAGGAAGAAGAAAGCAAAAAGATTGTCAAAAAGTATCTTTTTTTCATACATTTTTATTTTATTAATTTATATTATTATTTCTTATGAAATATTCTTTATTACTGCAAATGAATGAGCTGCACCACTTCCAATAAGAATTCCCGTGTAAGCGTATGGAAGATGCAGTTGTTCCGGAAATTTTACGTCTTTTGTATGACCATTTCCGCAATTTCCGTGTTCGTTCCAACCCCAACATAAAATTTTTCCATCTTCTAAAACATTAGATATGAAAATTGTTTTCTTTTCGAACTATTTCATTTTTTTTTTTTTTTTTGCTGTTAATTTTTATGTGTGTACCAGTTAGAGCAACATTGTGTTCCGAACCAGCAGAAACTTGTTGTATTCTAGGAAGATTTTCGATTCGCGTAGCTTTCCAAGTGAACTCGTTGAGTTTTGTAATGCCTAATTGTCCATATGTATTTCGGCCCCAACCAAAAATATGACTATCTAGTAATAAACTAATCAGATTTTGAAAAGGTATTAAATGAATAAAAAATTAGCAAATAATATTACCATTTAACACAATCACGTGTGACCAACCACTGTGCACGTTAATTGGCAATTTAATTTGAAAATCCGATAATTTTAATGGGACGAATGTTTTTCGACATATGTCTGTATTTAATCCTAATTGTCCGTGTTTATTATCACCAAATGCATAAAGATTTCCATCTTTCGCTACCGCGATGGTATGGTACTGACCACAACTGACACTCTCGATGTTCCGTAATGTTGGAACTGTTTAAAATCATTGCACAATAATCTTTATTTACATTTGTTAAAATGGGCTCTTATCTATTTAATTTTTTATTTTAAAACGTGTTTACCTTCTTTAAAAGTATATGCAGCATTTATAGAGCCCTTATTATTCAAGCAATCTATACCTAACTGCCCCTTAGTACCTGCTCCTGCTACTAAAATTGCATGATCTTCCGTTATTGCAACAGTATGTCTCAAGCCCATTGAAATTCCTCTGATTTTTCGATCAGATACTAGTTCAAAGGATTCATGTATCCATTGAAGATTATTCGGGTCTATTCCCAATTGTCCGAAATAATTCGAGCCCCAGAGAAGTAAAGTACCTTCTGTCGTCAATGCAGCTGAACAATCCCATCCGCACACTATATCCACGATAACTTTATTCCTTAGTTTTTCACTTAATTCTTGGAAAAAGGGAATATTTTCTTTTACGGGAAAACCCACTTGACCTTTGTTGTTCCAGCCGCAAGAATAAACGCGACCGTGATCATCCAAAATTAACGTATGACCAGCGCCGCCGACTATTTTCTTTATTTTTTGCGGTTCTAACGAACACTTTGATAAATCAACCTCACGTGGTAAAACACATTCCTCCGACTCGGTTCCTTGCCCAAGTTGACCATGAGAATTAGCACCCTATAATAAGAATCAGTTTCGATTCAATTCCTTATCCCTATTTAAAATATTCCCGCGCAAAAAAGAGCCCGCCCAATTGTTTCATTGCCAGCAAATAATATTTTCCAATGACACGAGTGTATGAGTAAATACGATTTCAAAAATATTGGACTAGATTGATGTTAATATTCATAGAAAACTATACTTTTCATGAATATAGAAAAATCATAGTCTCTTCTAAAACAGAGTTTTACGTATATCCAAAATGAAACAATTACGACAAGTATAGCGAAGATAACATTACTTTACCCACGAGAGTAAGGAATAGGACATTGTATCTTTGTTTGCAAATTGTTTCCAATCAAATACTTGCACTTATTAATATAGGGACGCAACAAAAATAATAAACTAAGAAATAGATAATTGTACACTCAGACATAGATAAAATATGAAATAGACAGGAAATTCAATGCTTTCTGTATACTAAGATCTAAGACTGACATCCTTACTATTTTTGCGTCATACATCACGTTATTGACTTAATGCATTACTTTTTCTATGAAATTATAATAAACTTTACGTTTTTTTACAAATATTTCAAATTTGATGCTTTCAATCAATTTTCCAATCCAAGTTTTTAATTTGCAAGGAATTAAATATTAGAGCGATCGTTTCGATGTACATATAGAATAGAATTTAGAAATCTTTAGACTCATATTTTAGAAGCTAAATAAAACACAGAAAGAGAGTTGAATAACTAATTCCATAGGCACAATTCTAAAATTTCAGAACGTTATTAATTAAATAATTAGTCAATGTAATCAGGAGAAGTACCTCCATTTTTTATATGGTAGCGCCATCTGCTGCGAAAATGCAAATTTATTTTTTGATACGAGTTAGTATCAGTATTAATTCTGTATTAATTGCATTAATTAATTACGTTGAAAATTAAAATACAGAGGATGTTTACTAGTGTTAAAGCTTTAATTTTATTCCTAAAGAGTTCAGAAATTCGATTTTTAGACCGAACTATTTGATTTTTCAGTTTCCCTATAGAGAATGATGGCTATAAAATTTCAACTGCATATGAATGGATTAAACTTTCATTTGCAAAAAATACTAATTAAAGGGATTAATTTGTATCAATATTCATAATAAGTACCTTCAACCTTCTTCTTTTGTACCATTCCTTTAGTACAAAGGTTATGCTTTTAATCTTTAATAACAATTTATTAACAATCTGTTTTCATCATATCGCTGTAATTCTAACTTGCACTAATAATTTTAAAAATGACTAATTTTAAAAATGACTAAACAGAGGAAATAATTAAATTCGAGAATTATATGATAAACAATTATATTATACAGTTGATTTATGCGTATGTTATATTTCATTTATAGAAGTGAATATATCTTCATTTCACAATATAGGTGGCAGCAAACCTAAAGTATACAGTGATTTCTTGTTTGATTTGTTAATTCGATTTATACAGATATGAACTCGTTTTTTAATGTATATAGATCATTTTTTTAATTAATTTTGCTGATTATAATCTTGTCTGCTGATTAAGTGCTGTTGGGCAATATGCACGAATCGATAAAGTTTGACATTAAAGAGGTTAAAACCGATCTTTTGCGCGCGATAAATGAATGCTCCCAACGTGGATTATTGCATACTACAAAATGGTGCGTATAATTTTCAATAGAAATTTAAATAAACTCTTGATTTCATGCGTATGAGAAATAAGGAATATATGCTTTTCTTTGTAGGCTAGCTGAATTGAGTTACTCTTTGAAAGACGTCAAGATAGACGTTCTCGATACTACTGCAGACTTGTATTTAGCGGATACAAGCGAAGAGGAAGATACATATATTTTAGCGAAAACTTATTTTGACTTGAAAGAATATGACAGAGCTGCATACTTCACAGAGGAATGCAAAACGCCAAAAGTTCGATTTTTATATTTATACTCTCGCTATTTATCAGGCGAAAAGAAAAAGATAGATGATATGACGGTGGTGCCTCCAGATCCATTAAAAAATGAAAGTTTGAGATTATTATGCTCTGACTTGAGGAAAGATCATATGGCAGACAAACTTGATGGTTTTAGTCTTTATCTTTTTGGCGTGACTTTAAAAAAATTACAGCTTACTAGGGAAGCGATGAATGTGTTGGTTGAGGCAACTCATAAGCAACCAATGCATTGGGGATCATGGTTAGAATTGGCTTCTTTAATCACTGACAGAGAAAAGCTTGAAAATCTCTGTTTACCTAATCATTGGATAAAGCATTTCTTTATGGCTCATATGTATTTAGAACTGCAGTTAATAGATGAAGGTTTAGCATTATACTGTAAGTTACAATCAATGGGGTTTGAAAAGAATGGTTATGTACTTGCTCAAACTGCAATGACTGTAAACTACAGAAGAGGCAAGTAAACTTATCAAAAATGTCAAACAAAAATTTTGTAGTTACTATGATATGTTATATAGTATATTAAGTTATAGTATTATTGTTTTAGATGTTGATAATGCTATAGAAACATTTAAGAAAATAATAAAAGCAGACCCTTATTGCTTAGATAATATGGATACATATTCTAATATTCTTTATGTAAAAGAAATGAAAGTTGAATTGGCATATTTAGCTCATAGAGCAACAGAAATTGATAAATACAGATTAGAAACATGTTGCATAGTAGGTAAGTTTTTTGCATCTTAAGATGAAAAAGCTGTAAATATACTATTGTGCTATTTAATTAAAGGGATATCTTTTAGGAAATTATTACAGTTTAAGGGGAGATCATCAAAAGGCATCAATGTATTTTCATAGAGCATTAAAATTAAATCCACAGTACCTTTCTGCTTGGACATTGCTTGGTCATGAGTTTATGGAAATGAGAAATACAAATGGTGCTATTCACAGCTACAGACAAGCTATTGGTATATGTTATATATACATATAAAATTGAACATATAGAATATAGAATATGAACATCTATTTGTCTAGCAATTTTTTTATATAGAAGTCAATAAGCGGGATTACAGAGCATGGTATGGTTTGGGTCAAACATATGAAATTCTGAAAATGCCATTTTACGCTCTTTACTATTACAAACAGGCTCAGTTATTAAGGCCTCATGATAGTAGAATGGTACAGGCATTAGGAGAAGCATATGAAAAACAAAATAAAATACAAGACGCATTAAAATGTTATTACAAAGCATGCAATGTTGGTGATATTGAAGGAATGGCATTGTTAAAATTAGCCACGTACGTATTAAAATGAGATCTATCATATAGTAAATTAAAATTTAAATATATATTTTAATGTACTGTAGGTTATATGAAAAATTAGGTGAACATGATCATGCAGCAGCAGCGTACACGGATTTTGTAATGGATGAATTTATAAATGCAGATAGAGCTGATTTGAGTCACGCGTACAAATATTTAACACAGTATCATTTAAAACGAGAACAATTGGATCATGCTAATCATTATGCACAAAAATGTTTGCAATTTGATGAAACAAAAGAAGAAGCCAAAGCATTACTAAGAACAATTGCACAAAAGAGAGGAAAATTTGAGCATTCGATGGTGGTAATTACAGAATATTTTACTTTATAATCAAGTAATATTAACAAATTTTTAATTTTTAATATTGTATCAATTATAGGTGGAAGATATGAATGAAACAGAAGTTATCGAACAAGGAGAAAGAGCAGATGTTACACCAGGAAGTCAATTATCGCCGATGAATTTGTCATTTATGCCTACACCGTAATATACTATTTAATTCTTTAAGTTGTCGGTTTATACATTGTACATATTTTTAATAAATGGTGAAATCATCTCTTTTACAATAAATTTTTTATTATGAAATTTTTGTACAAAATTAGACAAACATACTTTTTCTTACAGGTAATGTTTTTAAAATAATAAATCTTATTCTAAATATAATACTTATATAAGTAATCAATTAAAAATTTATATTATTAATATCATTTGAGGTAATATCATTGGAAGAATTAGCATATGTATTAGGTAGATCCATAAATTCAGGATACTGGTAATAAAGGTGTCGCATAGGTGAGGGCGCTGGTGGTATCGCCATTGATCTCGGACGGGAAGAAATCGGATTATTGTTTGAAGATGACCATAATTGCGAATCAAAATTGTAATTTGTTAACGATGGATTTTGTGGTAATTCAGGAAAACTAGGAGGAGAACGACTGCATCTTGGAGAACTATTTATGCGATCAGGTAAAGTCAACCGTTCTGTTATAATATTCACACTAGAGATTTCAGAAGCGCGTTTTTCGAAACGAGAATTAATCGAAAATGATGTTTTGAATATTGAAATTCGTTCGTCTATTATTTCTAAAACTCCATCTAGTGAGTTTTCATTGTCCGCCATATAATTTAATTCTTTGTCTGTATTTTCATCCTGTAGAGGAAATTGAATAACATGTTTATTTGGTTAGGTACGATAGAATGATAACAAAAAAAATGGAATAAAAAGATTGTAATTTTACCTCAGATTGGCGAATTGCCTTATTGATTAAATTTTTGTGAAATCGTGGTTTTTTAAACCGCTTTGCTTTAATTGGTAATGTTACATTATCGTCATCGCTAGAATCGGAGTTTCCTGTCTGCGTAGTTTTTTTATATTTAATATTTTTCCATTTTAACTTTCTTTCGAGTCTTCTTGAATATGATTTACATTTAGTCGAATCATTTTGTAGAAAATTGCATTTTTCCTCTCGTAGTTCGCTGTCATTTTTATGTTCGATATGACTTTCAGTTTTTTCTTTATCGAATACATTAACAGTGAATTCAGTTAATGCTTTCCTTTTTAGTCCTTTACTCTTGTCCTGTTTTAATCGAGATGTAATTGAAAAATCATTAAAGGAATGGTCGTTTCTCTTATCATGGAAGAAATTATTTTGTTTTGTTATTTCTTCTTTTGTCATAACGTCATTCGCATTGCTCCATTCTTCGTTAGAAGAATCAAAATCTTCCCTAGTTGTCGCCATTTCATTATTGTCACTGTTTTCGTTGAAATCATCAGAAGATATTTCTCCTCCATCTTTGAAAGTAGATGTAAAATTTGGAAGTTTTTTCAAAAATTCATTGTCTTTTTTTTCACAATAATCATTGTTTAAATTTATCTGTTCTGTCTCTGTCTTTTCGGTGCGACTCGAAAAGATTAAACCAAATATATACGAAAAAAAAAGATAGAACTGGAACACGATATGCTTGATATTCTCTAGCTTGATCATATTTCTTTTCCTTATTTTTCTTGCATATTTTCTTAACAATTTACAAAAAAATTGAAACCGATTACTTTTGATTACAGATCTCGTGAATTTTCGTACGTTCGATGTAGTTTTCTGTAAAATTGATAAAATTTACGTCACAATTTATATAATATATTAAAATTTTATTTATTTATTAAATATGCAAATCATGCTGCAAATTTTGTTATATTTTAAACACGCACGTTCACAATATGTAATGCTTATAATACGAAAAAATTCTTGTATATCGAACTGATGTTTTCGAGCACAAAACTAGAAAATATTGATCATTAAATTGTATACAGATATTAAAAATCTATTGTGTGATGAAATACAATTAGTGAATTTCACTGAAATTTTGCGCGAGATAATCTTGTTGAAAGCGAATAGTTCTTCAAGCTCCAAAGAAATTTATCGTTACGTAAATATTATTAAAATTCAGATAATTTAAAACATAATTGGTGTTGGTTTATCTATAAAGTAATGTCACGATGTAGCAGACGCTGTTACCATTCTGGTTTCAATAATAAATGTTTTAATTAACGACATTATTTCTATTTAATTTTTCAAGATAATATCACCGCATAGATATCTAACAAGTGTAAAATCATCTTTGACATTTAATTACTAATTGTCTCTAGCTCCTTTCGATTTATTTCTTTTCTTGCTTCTTTCAAATGATAGTACTTACGTGGCTGCGTCTGCTTGAATTTTTCTTTTTCTTCATGGTAGTCAACACTGTATGATATTGTGATGATTATAAACAACCAATAAAATATCAATTTAAATTTTTCGTCTAAATCGAAAGAGACTTGTCTACACTACACTTGAGAAATTCCAAATCGGAAGAGACTTGTCTACACCACGCTTAGGAAATTCCAACTCGGAAGAGACTTGTCTGCACCACGTGTAGGAAACTCCAATTCGAAAAACACTTGTCTACACCACGCTTGGAAAATTCTAAATGAAGCAGAATTGCTTATAAAATTGCTTATAAGGGAATGAAATACCAGGTATCCTGTTTTCTGATTGGTTGGGCAGTTAACGGACAAAATATTATTTACAAATCCAGGGATAATTGTCCCTTCCGAAATTTCAATAGTAACACTTTGCATTCACTTCTTCAGGTCAGTTTATTGCCATTCATCCGTGCCGTTTATTGTATCGTTTACTGTTAGACGTGACTAGACTAAACAATAACTACACTTTAAAATCACACAAATTAAAATATTATTTACAAATCCAGGGGTAATTGTCCCTTCCGAAATTTCAATAGTAATACTTTGCATTCACTTCTTCAGGTCAGTTTATTGCCATTCATCCGTGCCGTTTATTGTATCGTTTACTGACGTGACTAAACCAAACAATAACTACACTTTAAAATCACACAAATTAGAAATTTCTAGAATTTTTTTATAATAATTTGAAATTGTCATTTCTACTTTTTTTTATCAATAGGGTATGAATTTATTAATAATGCGTGAATATAATATAATATAATATAATTTATATTCAATTTTATATTTAATTTGGAATTTATAACCAACTCTATACATGGTTTCTTTGTCTTTTCGAAGACAATGCGGATTTTAGAAACGGGGATTAAGTCTGTCGTTAAAAGTTTATGACAGTTGCTAAGTTCAAAAGAAAATTTGAAAAAAATTTTAGTTAAGGGACATTAGTTAAGTATAGACATTAGTTAAGTATAGTAATTTGAGAGAAAAGGAAAGTACAGATTTAGCAAGGAAGTAAGCAAACATATAGGGTATCCATAAAGTTTCTTTACAATTTCAAAAATTAATTACAAAGGACACCCTGGACGACCTGTCTATGGATCTGTCTTTAAATACGCTTTCACAAAATTCCTTCTTTGTTTTTCAAACAGATTTATTACTAGGCACTATATTATTTTTGAATACAGCTTTACTATTAGTACTAGGCATTCTTCGAACTTATATTAAAATTTTCATCTATCTCAATAAAATCTCCATTAGGTACTTTTGCGAATGTGAAGCTCATATTGAATGTTTTCGGACTTTTCTAACGAACTCCTCTCGCAAGAACTTAGGTGGATTAAGACAGCCAATTTATGTTTATTAAATTTTTTAATCTTTTAAAAAATATTCTTTTGAGTATTACGTTATATTATAAGTTATATTAAAAATTATTCTAAAATAAATTATAATTCTTAGTTCTTAGAAAAGATTATAAATTCATATAAATGGCTTGGAAGTTTTGATCGATGGTTTATCATAAATTTGAAGGAACGCAGTGTAATAAATTTTGAAGGGTCGCAGTAAATCTTGTTTTCAGATTTTTTAACAATGGATTACCTGCTGTGAGATTTATATTTTCCAAATGTGACGAGCTTAATAGTTTATTAATAGTTATTTAATTTTAGAGATTTTTCAGTTTTATTCGACAATATTAAATTCTAACAAATGTGACAAAAAATTAAAAATTAGATCAGATTCTATTATAATAGTATATAATAGTATTATAATAGTATGTAGATTCTATTATAGATTCTATTATAATAATATTATAAAATAGGTTTGCGAATCTTAAAGTACTTAAAATTATTTTTCAGGACATTATTTGACTTTAGTCTGTTTACATTAGAGACGCAAAGGTAGAACTTTAACAATTACGGAATACTGTTATAGGATACGAAACTCACGCAAGCATATAAACACGCGAGAATGTACACACGCACGAATGTATATATACCTAGATGCATGCATGAATGTACGCAGGAATTGATAGTGTACAGATATACATATATGGATGCAACACGAAAATAGATACATATTCATTATTCTTGCTTCAAATAATTTAATTATTCTTGTCATTTTTTAAATATGATTGTTATACCTGTTAATGAAATTTTAATAAATGTTTTCGGTATTGAATTACTTGTAAAAAAATTGATTCTAAAACTTATTTTTTTGTACACAGAATATGAAAAAAACATATCTTTATTTTATTTCACTGTATTTTTGTTACAGGCTCTTTTAAACACAAGTAAATAGTAAGATACATAATATACAACGTTTGAAAATAAGGTTTCTAAGGTCGCGCGCAATTCAATACAGCATGGCGGCCATATTGACTATGTTCTCCCAACCCAGTACCAAGGATGTTTGTGCGTGCCTGGCACCACTGCTGTTACAGCGCGGTCGTTGTCGTTGTTAACGTCGTCGTTGTCGTTATTCTTACTATCGTTGTCAACGTTGTTCCTGTCGTTGAATTATAATTGCCGTTGACGTACGAAGATATCGAACAGTTTAAAACGTGATCGTAACACATTGATAGGATTAACGCTTTCTGTATGCGAGATGTCAAATCAAATATGTCTAAAATGGAACAGTTTTTTAAACAACATCGCAACGAGTTTCGAAAGTCTTTGGGAAGAGGAAGGTTTAGTAGATGTGACATTAGCAAGCGATGGACAGTGTCTTACTGCTCACAAAGTGATTCTCTCAGCAAGTAGTCCTTTCTTCAAAAAAGTTTTCCAGGTTAGTTTTCTATGTTCTCTACTTCACATTTGTGGTTACGTTGACGTTTTGACAGCGAATAGTTTGATTATTGAATAAAACTTTTCGTTGATTAATCAATAAGTACGAACAAATTCTTTAAACAGTAATCGTAGAGTAATTTTGGAGTTTAGTCCGTCTACTTTAAATAATGTCATATTTTGAATATGCTGTGGTTCTACTATCATGTAGTTCTACTATCATGTACTATCATGTAGTTTTATATGTTGCGACGCATGTCATAGTTTAACAGGAAATATAATTTTTTTAATCTTTCTTACATTATAGACCAACCCTTGTCAACATCCAGTTATAATACTTCAAGATGTGCACTTCAGTGAATTAGAAGCCTTACTTATATTTATATATAAAGGAGAAGTAAATATCGAGCAGAAAAATTTGCCAGCGCTTTTAAAAGCTGCGGAGACTTTGCAAATTCGTGGACTGTCTGGAGGAGATATATTTGCTAAGGAATCTTATAAAAGATTAGTAGAATTAGAACAGGCAGTAGAAGAAGGAACGGTTACTGCCAAAGAAGAAACTCCAAAAAAAAAACAAAAATTGAACAAACATCAGAATTCTATATTAGAATCAGCACTGACACCTAAAGCGTCACAAGTAGAAAGTACAGATGAATCCACAGCTAGTGAACAAAGTGGCAAAGATGCAGATTATTTATTGCAGAAAAATATGCAAAATCCAATATATCATCGTTTAGAAATGAAGGTTAGCATGCCAATAATATTTAAATCTTTGTAAAAGTGATTGATCAAATGTGTGAAATAAAGTTTAATGGATCATATTTCAGATAGAACCATTAGAAACTGTATTAGAAGAATCTCAGAAACAATCTACAACAGAAAAGGATCCGGCAGAAAGGTTAGATACAGGGCAGCTCGATGGAAATCAAGGTTAGTATTATATTAAAAATTAAAATATTGCTTTATAGATAATAATAGAAAATATCACCACATGCATGCTATTTTGAAAAAATATATATTTTATATATAATATATTGTGCATTTATGTATATTTTGATACTATATTTATATCTATATATTTTATACTTGCATTCTATTTAATATTTCACGATGAACTATTTGCTATGTGTAAGATACTTTTATAAATTAGAGAAAGAAAGCAGTACGTTTCATTCGTTACGTATTCGTAAATATTAGTATAAATTGATTCATTATGGTTAATACTGCAAAATGTATGTCAGGGTGTATGATTGAATTTATAATTTAATTGATAAAAATTTCGTATTGTGTATGTTCGGTAATTTCAATAAAATTAGGTGCATACTCGTTTTCGATGCTTTTTCAAATCGTTGAGTTAGCTTTAATCGTCACTTCTGCTTTATTATTCACATTGGTGTTATACGTATTTCTTTCATTTGTTTTTATTTCGTTCGATGTTACAAAGCATAGTGGAAATGGGAACACGTGTAGATAGCAAATAAATATGTACGTAAATAAAAGTACGATCGGAGAAACTAGAGGTCAAGGCGCAAATAACGTTAAACTATCTAGTTCAGCAGGTGATTAAACGATAGAAAGGAGAAACATATTATTGAATGGTTTGGTCTCTTAGTTTATTTATGTTGCTTGTTACGACTTGTCCTGGCTTCTAGTACTCGATAACGTGATCCAGACTTTGTTCTACGTTTACGCGTAAAACTATCTGTGCATGCGTGACGGAGAAGACAAGTGGAATGATACGCGATCGATTGTTTAACGCGACATTTAACGAACTTTGGTCGAATTTGCTTGATTGTTCGGTACGCTGCAATTCACGCGTCAGGGGGATCCGTGTCTAAAGCAGGCTGTGCTCTGATGTGTGTGGCAGGGTCTGGGAACAGCCCTGTTGAAGATATTTCCGGTTTATCTGGGTTATCCGGCCTAACTGGATTCTCGGACGTGAAGCCACTGCTATACGCGTATCAGCAACTACCTTACGCCGATCTTCTGCCAAGTCCGGAGATAATCTCAACGTGGGCATCCTCTCGACCGATGGATCATTTGGCCTGTGACCTTATGAAGATCCTTTTTACCACGGAGGAGAGGATTCTCTGTAACGTAAACGGCAAGATGGGAAAACAACAGTTCGATAGTAACAAAATACATTTGATAAGAGAAGTTCTGTTGCACTTCAGTGGTATTGCACCTAATAGCGTCGAATGGGAGGAAACGTGGAAAAATTGCGTAACTAAAATCGATACTAGCAATAGGGGTTTGAAGAGGTATCTATTCCAAAGGCGGTCGGTTTACACTCAATGACTAGGGCGTTTCAGGTCAGGGGTAAAACGGAAACGTTTTCACTGGCTAGAATGAAGTGTTTCTTTCGCTGATTCGTCGTCTCGATTATCTAAGATCATCTAGGATCGTCTTAGATCGCCTCGAAAGTTTTCATATCCTTTCTTTTTGAAGAAGGATACGAATAGGTGGAGCGAGAAAATTCAATGAAAAAAAGTAGAACGTGTTCAGACAAAGAGTAGAGGAACGGAAAACATTCTAGGCCAATGGTCCAACTATTTATACGCTTCACGTTTGCTTTCAATTCACGGGGCAAATGAGTAATTTTATATTAATTTTACAACTATTTTTCGTTTTGATAATGATCACGCAACGCGTGCTCCGAAGACTTGTTTCACCGCTGAAAAAGTTGATTGATCGTTCCATTATGTGATTCCCTTGATTTTCTTTTTCCTTGTACCTTGTCTCTCGTACCTTGTGCAATGCAACATTCCTTCTATTTGTCCGTTTACAATGTTCACGCAGATGTGCACTTTCGTCATAGACGATCTACGTAACACATACTAATAGTAAGCGCGTTGTGTCGTAAGGACTTGCGGAGATTTTTTACGCTCAAAAAAAAAAAAAAAAAAAAAAAAAAAAATACGAGTATACCATCACATGCATTACTGTACGCGCGTAGATGAAAACGTAGGTGTACGTTTACCGATGTACATGCTATATACGCGTGCAAACATAATTGCGCTTCGCATTATTGACAACATTAGAAAAAGACGACTACGTCAAAGCTCTTACGATGGGAGTAATAGTGTAAGATATATGCTTTTATGATATTTAAGGCGTTTAATATGCGGAGACCTCACGCGAACGATTCGCAGTTATCGGTGGCGCACTATTTTTTCCTATCGTTTATTTTTAATCAAACGAACAGACAAATCTGATTTTCGTATTTACTTGCCACCTTTCTGTTTTCCTCGTTTGATCTCGCAAAGGTACGAAACGCTTCGAGTTGACTGTTATTTAAATCTATGCGATTGTAGACAAAATACACACACATACACAGAAATGACTGGTTGCAAATAAACCTATTTTACATTTTTAATTGTCTCATCATTTCCCGATATATATATATATATATATATATATATATATATATATATATATATATATATATATATATATATATATTTCTTTTTTTTTTTGCGCGCGCGCGACAAAAGATATCGCAAACCGAGCCTGACTTTTGTGAAAAAAAATTGTACACGCGTGTGGTAAACTAATTTCGTTTTGTATTAGTTTCACTGGCACACGTATTTTTATAAAGTATCGCTTACTTTTTTGACAATTTTCCACAGAAATTTACATATTTATGGAATTTTTATCTTGGGATAATTGCGAGTGTAGGTATAATTAATTGCTCGTACAATCTTCACAATGGTTTCCGCAAAATTTTCGTCAAAATTAAAGTATTGCAATCGATACAAATGACAAAGCGATACACTGCTCTCAGCGTCACATCGTTACTCGTTTGAACCAATTTTCGCTAGTTATTATATGTTATACTTACGTACAACGTAACCAATTACCTTCGTCAATTACTATCGAAAATGATTCCAATTACACGTCTCCGCGTATTGAATTATCAAGTTGTTCAATTAACAACGTCACAGCTCTTGTCGATTCTAACAGAAGCAAACTACGTGCCAGTGATTACAATTACTATTTGCTATACATCCGTAAACCGTTTGCCTCGCGACAATCATCCGTCCCAGCGAAATGATTGACAAACTTTCGCGATTTGCAAGAACGGAGAATACTTGCGAAATCTCCGAGCGAGTAACAGTGGACGAATGGGCAAATTGGGCCGTTTGATCGGACAGACAATTACACGGCTGGTAATAAGCAGCGTAATAAATGATGATCAAACAAGCCTGGCGTCAAAGGCGCTGCGAGGCCACTTTCAGGAGAAATCCCGGAGTTCCGGTAACGCGGTATCAAAGAGCCCCGGGAATTTCATCTGAAGTTCCCTTTCTTCTTTTGCATCGGACCCGGGCTCGTTATCCCTACAAAGTGTAGCCTTGGCAGGGGCGTGAAAGGGAAGCCTGAAAAATCTGGCCCACCGCGCGCTCGCAGGGGGGGAAAGGCAAACTTTTACGCCGACGCGGTTTATAATTCCGTTGCCGCGTTAGCGAGAAACTCAATTAGCAGATTTTACTTTGTCGCGCGTCGGAGAATTGTAACCGGTGGGCGCCGGCGAAAATTTCCGCGGCAACATTGAGAAAAGAGAGAAAGAGAGAGAGAGAAAATAAATAAATAACTGCAACGCTGGCTATCAATGTGATCAAAAGGGATTACGCCCCTTGACTTTGTACATATGGCGTAAGAAAAACTTTTTCTAACCTTTTGGCGCTGGAACACCGAGAATTTTCTTTTTGTTCCAAAATTGTGACACTTTCTCTGGTTTTAAGTATATTTAAGTGAAATAGGCGAAACAAATGATACGTTTATTACATCTCAATAATTTCTATCCGATGATGTGACGACGAGTCTCAGAAAGAAAGCGACGATTTATTATATTCGGTCACTCGTTATGGTCCGCGATCAGTTGCCAGCGCAGATGCAGGGAATTTCTGGAGAAAAGGAATCCTTTGCGTGTGCGAAACTTTATCGGGACGTTTAACTTTTAATCCTTGAATATTACAAAGCAGTTACTCGCGAGACCGTGAGTAATTGCATTATTCTAACCTTACACGCTCGGGAATCGACGTTACAATTTGCGACATCAAGAATTTGTATTTGTACGTGTTTTAGAAAAAAAAGAAAAAAAGAAGAAAGACTATTTCTGATTCAAGGAGCTATCGATGCAATTGCTTGTGCATTATACATACATATTGTGAAACGAGAATAAATGAATTCTATATTCGGCACAAAATACACATTAACAAGTGTGCGATACTCTAGTTGCGCTATTCAAGTTTCAATAACCGCAGCGTTTGAGCGTTAAATGTACGAAGGCAAGACCCTGTCAACAAGTTGAAACAATCAAATCTCTATAAATATTCCAATCAATATCCCCCAACTATACTTCATCGAAATAAACATTCCCAATCCCGAAAACGAAGCCGAGAGCGAAGCCGTTGTTCCGTTGGAAATAACGATTCTCGCAAATCGTGCTGGAGATTCTGTGTACATATGTGCAACAACAGATCGTAAATTGCATCTAATTAATGGTGTCCAATATCGTGCGCCACGCATTAACAGTGAGAAAAGTGTGTATGTGTGTGTGTGTGCGCGCGAGAAAAAGAGAGAGAGAGAGAGAGAGAGAGAGGTAGACGAGGTAGAGAAACATTTTTCGTAGCACGTTGTGTGTATTTTAATCGTCGCATTGGAACCGAATCGATTAAAAGCGACGCAACGAAATTGCAGGCGAAAACTTGGGAGGACATTCGATTTTCGAAGCGATTGCCGACTGTGGAAGATAAGTATACAGTAGCGGAGCTGTATAGAAACGGAGGACCATAGGTTTACAAAGCGGCGGTAACCGTATTGTCGTTCTCGATCTCTAATTTGCTGTCCTCGCTTCTCGTTTCGAGACGATTTGACGGGATAGTTAGAGACGCGAGCACGCTTTTTCAGGACAAACGGCGATATGTAAAATACGACCGCAAACGCCAAATTTGTATCCGTCAATTTAGTTTTCTTTCGCGGATGTTCAACGAGGAATTTTTCGATTTAAAGAAGGGCACGTTTGTTGCACGACGTCTGAATCGTGCAACTCCAACGATTTTTATTTTTGCGATTGGAGGGACTGCTGCAACAAGGATAATAACTCCACTCTCGTGTAATTTCAGTTGATCAGCAAAGAAACAATTAATGTGATCGTGTTTTAAATCCACGGTTAAGAAATATTCGTATTAATAAACTTTTATTCGACTCTTCTCTGTTCAATTCAATTAACGCCAACTGAAACATCGAATTTAATAAATTAGGTTATGCACCTATCAAGATGTATGTGAAAAGCACAGCTGCCTCTATCTTCGTACAAATTATTGAGATTATATAAATTATAATACACATAGAATATACAAATTAGGTATATAAAATTATTATCGTCGTTTCTCGATTATTAAAATTAGTATCACTTTTATTGAGACAAAAACACGATCATCACATGTATTTATTGCTTCATTCCGAATTAATTGTATGTAACATGTTCAAATAGATAATTGTGTTATTATAGACTGACACTTTAACAAGTGTGAAATTTTGTAAAGTGCGATTCGTTGTTACAGACTGTACGCAAAGATTAATAAACTTCAGAGTTATTACGACAACGTTTATTTTATTCAACAGAACATTCCTCCGACGCTGTATCGCTTTTATTATTTACATATTGAATCGTCATCATCACGCCTGCGTTATTATTTTCGTTTATTATTTCGTTCTCGTAAAATATTCAACGACGGACAAAAGCAAGCACCGTTTACAATGACTTTTTTTGCAACAACGAAACAAGTGCCATTCATCAATTCTCTCGATTGCCTCTCGATATCGTTTTATAAAAAAGCTCCCGCTGAAAGCGATACGAATGAAACGCAGCAACGCGAGATAAATTTCACGTATTGCTCTTTTCTCCGAGCTGAGACCGATTGGAGAAAACTGACTCTTAATTAGTCCCCCATTGAAATGATCTTCTCGCGTTTGAATCGAAGTATTTGAAAATAATTCAAGCAAAGTCGTAGCTGTTTAAATGAAAAAAAAAAAAAAAAAAAAAAAAAAAGAAAAAAAAAAAAAAAAAAAGAAAAATCAAGTCGTACGATACAGTAACAATACAATGCGATGTGAAAAGAAGATAACAATTAAATTTCAAAGAATTTGCAAATGAAAAACAGAAATTCCGAGTGTCACAGAGAGTCCCATTCTGCTATTGCCCTTTCTATTCCACGAACCGTGAATGTACCACGCGTCCATTGACACAGTGAAGCATTTTTCGCCTGCCCGTGTACACTCTCAATAACACAGCCGAATTGAATGGATGTAACGCGAAAGTTCGAGCGAGCGGAAGAAAAGTAATCGCGGGTTGGTCGTTGTAGCCGTGAAATCCGAGAAATCCGCGAAAGAGAGAGAGAGAGAGAGAGAGAGAGAGCCAACTCGTCTCCCCCCCCCCTCCCTCCCTCCTCCTCTCCCCGTCGAAAGTGAAATACACAGTCGCGTTAAGTTTCGACTCCAAATTCCATTCATGTAGCAGACCTCGTTCGGTGAAACGGTGTGCCTCGGTGACCGAAGTAAGAAAATGGAGAGGAAAAAGTACGAGGGACAAGAGAGAATGGGTGGGTGGGTGGTTGGGTAGATCGTATACGCGAGCGAAACACGGCAAAGCAATTTCTGTACAACCACGTTTCCTCGTTTCCGCGAAAGGAATCTTCCGCCGGGGGACGCGGGAGAATTTACACGCGTGTGTGCGTGCCGTGTCTGTGTGTGAGAGAGAAAAAAAAAAGAAAAAAAAGAATGAACTCCACGGTGAATCGGCTGCGGGCACACCGCGAAGTTTCTGCCCCGAGTTTCTGCCTTATTGCGAATTATTCCACAGCCTTGTAAAGCTTATCGACGCTCTCCATGAAACCTGACGAGCTCGTGTACACGGAGAGAGAGCGCTATCGATTTCGCTGTCGTTAATGATAATTAAGGCCTGGCACGATGAGATTTCGCTAATGGAAGATAATATACCGTTCGCGGTATCATATTATTACTCAATTTTCCGTGTAAAAGGTACCCGCTCGTTTAACCGAAAATTTCCCTACGCCACACGTACGTACGCACCGAGGTGTGTAACCATTCTTCCTTATAGGCTAATGATCCTACTTGTCCTTCCTTTCTTCTCGTCCTTAGACACGCGTGTTACCTGTTACCAACCTGTTTAACCTCTCAGGAGTTGAACTCTGTTTCTTATGAACTTTCCATTTCTTTATAGTTGTACTAATACTGACGTTACGTTACTGAAATTTAGAGTATTCAATTTTACTTTATATTTTGTATGTTTACTCGCGTACATGACAGATATCGGTGAGAACATTTAACTGTATTAAAAACTTTTAAATCGTC